TCTGCCTATGCCTGTGGGGTCTTCCCATTGCTGATCCCTCCCGGTTCTCGGAGGTCCTTCCTGGGGTGGAGAGATGTGCCTCTCTCGCTCTCTCACTGTTAGTGTTATAACTTTTAAGTTGGTATCAAAGAGTTCTACTTCAATCTCACTTTTTAACAGCTTTTAAAATGCATTGCCTATCTCAGTTTTAATTATAGACTTCTCTCTCCTCTCACCCCTTTCTGCCCTCCTGAGGAGACATGAGTGTCCGGGAGTACAGGCTATGCGAGCTCAATGCCAGACTCTGAACCTTTGTCAGGCTCCGTGGGGCCTGCTCCCTAATGGCTGGACCATCCTTCTGGGCCAGATTGTGTAATTCTCAGTTCTGACCCTGTGTTACCATGAAGGGAAAGACTTTTGGTGGGACAGCCTCATCTAATAGTTCTGAACCCCAGTTTTAGACACAAGTTGGGTCCAGAGCTTCCTACATATTTATAAAGTGAGTTGAACATTTGGGGGATAATTTCAAGATGGATAGATTTTAATTTTGACAATAAAACAGGGCCTCTGTGGAGTAACTACTCAGAGTAACTACTATCATTTTGTTTTAACTATTATTTTAATAGTAACTACTCAGCAGACTATTAAAACTGCTTTGATGTTTTATATATTAGTTACATTGTCAGAAGTGTTTGAAAGTGGAAAGTATACTTTTTTTTAAGAATACTATGCAAGCAAAAGCTTGGTAAACATTTCAGATCAATTCTAAAGCAGTAAGTTGCATATTGCCACATTGATTCTAAAATTTAATTGTACATCACTAGCCATATATAAAGCATATCCTTGTATACTTCTGCCCACGGTCCTGGCTAGAACTTTTTTCCTGTCCTCCAGCAGAGTAAATATCTGACTTTGGAAATGTGACAAAAAATTACCCATGTGCATTAATGTGTGTGATCAATATGCTCCTCCTTTTTTTCATAATTACACTAATCTCTGCAGTTAATAATATATCAGTGTCTTTGAGTTTGAATTGCCTTCTTTCAGTTTTAAAATTCTGTCTTCAAGATCAACTTATCATTGGACAGGTTTTTTAGGTAACTGCTCAATCTCTCAGCTTCTTCTCCCAAGATGGCATTTGGGGATTTGAGGGAGGGATGGAGTCCTGATGGTATTGTTGGATACCCAGGCTGTCATCTGCACATTCAGGCTTCCATAGCAACCTCCTTGGTCTTCCCGATTGTCCCTGACCTCTCAGCATTAGAAGTGGAGCTCGGTAGCTGATTCCCTCCCAATTTCTAATTTCACTGCAGGATCTTGGTGGGGTTCCCAGGCTCCAGCAGCCTCAGCTTGGCTCTCCTTGGCACTGGAGTCCCCCTAAGCTCCCCCTGTGAACTCCATGTGGCCCCAATCATAGGTACCCCATCAAAGGCTCTCTGATAGCATGCCCCTGGAGGATTATGGGAACCAGGGGCTTCCATTTGTACCACACAGGATGTGAGAACATCGTAGGAATGTTCAGTCTGCCTCTCCATTTACTCTTCACACTACCCCACAGACTTTTCTATGCGGTGCTTGAAGTTGAGGGTAGACATGGACTGCAGAGTTCCAGGTATAAATGAGATCAAAGACTTGCTTTATTATTTAATCAGTTTACCTAACACATTTTCTGGGGTCTGCTCATTTGTCACTCTGCCCCCCCTGCTTTCATTGCATGTCTTCAGTTTGCCTTTCTCCGGCCTCTAGGACCTCCTGTCTATGGGTGCTTTTACAATCTCTCCTCCAATAAGTGGGACATGAAGGGAGGAGAAAATGGCAGAAAGTGGATTTTGGAATATCTTCTAATGATGCGGATCATTCTAGGAAGAGTTCATGACTGCCCCCTTTTTTAACCTTTGGTGCTATTATTATATTGTAACATGGCAAAAACATGCTGGTAGCTTTTGGTAGCTAATAGCCCTGAAACACCATTTCAAATTCAATGTCTTGGGGAAATATGCGTATACATTGACACATAAACAAGCTTTTGGGATATAACCTTGCTGTGGACTAAATTGTGTCTTTCTCAAATTCACCTGTTGAAGCTCTATGATTGAACTGGATAGGGCTTTCAGAAGGTAATGAAGGCCAAATAAGGTAATAAGGGTAGAGCCTTCATTTGATAGGGCTGGTGGCCTAATAAGGAGAAGAGAGACGGGTCTATCCTCACGTGCATTCACTGAGGAAAGGCTGCGTGAGCACATGGTGAGGAAGCAGCCATGTGCATGCCAGGAAGAGCATTGGATTAGAATTTCAAAGAGCAACTGAATTGGCTGGCCATCTAATCTTGGACTTCCTAGCCTCCAGAACGGAGAGAAACCCAATTCTGTTGTGGAATCCACCCACTCTATGGTATTTGGTGATGGCAACATGAGCTAAGACAAACCTGTTCATAAACTCATAATTGAATGCAATTACCCACTTGTGAATAGATCACACACACAAAACTTGATCATTACTACCATTTTGTTATTAACCGTGTATCTAACATAGGATGAAGTGGTATTTAGATACATGTTTTTATATTTATATAACTTTTCGCCCAGCACTTTTTCAATCAATAACCATATTCTTATTAGAAACGTAAACCTCATACTGTAACCCATAGCACCCATTATATAGCAGATACCCAATAAAGGTTAGCTGAATTAAAAAATAAGAATTTTGAAAATTGGTGGCACAGAGTTTCATCTCTATAGGAACAGTTTCAGGAAGAGAGAAAGACATGGACAGGGAGGTGGATGGGAGACAAAGTCACATGTGACTCTAATGTCCCTTATTATCATGGTCAAACACATGTTGTTAACAGCTATTACAGCATTTTTCTAATCAAGTGTGGCGTTACAACTTTTTAGAAGGAAATTTTCCACTGTTTCAAAAAAACCAACTTTCACTGTATCCCAATATCAAGTAAAAAGGGTTTGGAAATTGTATGTGATTTTGAGGCACCCATTAAGTTTTTTGGGACTTATGGGTTTGTTCTATGTTTGCTTGCCTTCCGAAGAATTTTCAGTCTGGTTATCGAGGACTTTTTATGACACCTAGAGCTGTAATGGTTGAAAAATCTGTGAAAAAGTGGGCAACACAATGTGAATGTTGGTTTTTATTTTCAACTTAAACAACTGTCTTCCTCAAGGATATAGTCACATGAAGCTCAAGTAACTACTTATATTGGTTCAGAAAAATAAATAAATAAAACTTTCAGTGTTTAGGTTCCAATGTTCATTTCATGATTCCTTCACTTCATAGTTTCTAGTGTTGACTAGGACATGGGCTGAACGTTCTCAGAAAGCGAGGGTCATTTTGGGAGTGTGGTAGAACGACAGGGGCAGTTGGGGTCAGAGGTCCGTGTGCCAGTCTTTGGGCCAGCTGAGTACTCTCTCTAAGCCACAGTGTATTCATTCAACGAACACTTATTAGGCCGCTGCCCTGTGCTAGGCAGTACCAAATGGGTGTCAAAGTAGCCCAAGTAGGAGTAGCTAACATCCACATTTTGCTTACTCGTTTAATCTTCACCAAGATTATTTGCTGATGGTACTTTCAAAAGTGGCCATTTCACAGGTAAGGGAACCAAGGGCCAGAGACATTCATTAACTGCCCACTTTCCTTCAGGTCTATGTCAGCCATAATATCACCCAGACAGCTTAATTCCAGAAACTTCTGTCTTCACCACATTACTGTCGTTGAGAGGATCTTAACTTTGCATTTATTTATGTAGTTATTTTTCTCATTTATTATTTATTTCCTCATTGCTCTTGACAGCAGTTAGGTTGGTAAGTGTCTCCTGAGCAGAGGCACATGAGAATGCATCAGAAACTGCTTCATGCCTTGTGAATAGGTGTTAATTATTATTATTTACTGTATTTGTCTATATGTGTTCATTATTATTTACCATATTGTCTATGTCATTAGGCCTCTTTCATCATTTAACACTGTCTTCATTTTGTGTGCAATTTCCCTTCTTTGACACATTTGAGAAATCTTAACATTTGCACAGTCACAAAAATTGTATTGTATCACAGAGTGCATCGAGTCCTTCGTGTCCTAAAACAGGAGACTTCTACCATCTAATACTGTTATTTTTTGTTATGAAATATTTTGTACATAAAAATATGTAACATACATGATGATTGTAAACCACAACTATTGCACTTCTCTTGTCCTTATTGTGAATATTCTCTCATTGCACAGCATTTTATAAAGGTAAATCCCAAATACTGGTTCCTGCTTTGTTTTGATAGGAATGTTCTCCAATAGAGAAGCAATCATGTGTTTTCATGGTCTCTCCGATTTTAATAATACCAGTTTGTTCTAAGACTACCTGCCAAATTGTAGTAAATGTTAGAAATTTTAACCTGACGCTTCAAACATAAAATTGGCTCCTTGCAGTTAAATACTGTGAGTGTGTTAAGTGTGAGGACCACACACTCCTTCCGTTCAGTTGGAGAACCTGAAGTGTGCCTGCTGCTGCCTGCTCACTGACTGCCACTGCTACCTGCCTAGTAATTGTCTTTGGCTCTTTGTAAACCTGCAGCCAGAAAGGCATTTGAATTTTCCCCCTGTAGCACTTGCAAATCCGATTTTTATGTATAGCTAAGTGCTCTTAGCTTTTACTCTATCTACTACTGGGGCCTGGTGTCTAGCAGGCCTGTAACTACGCCAGATCTAGCCTATGTAATGCTGTTTGTAATGAGAAATCTAAACAGGGAATGGCAGTGAGGCATGGCAGGAATGTGTTTCCATTGGAGAAGTCAGCGTAGAGAAAAAATATAAGCAAAGCTGTGTCCAGAAGGCCTTTTCAGCTGGCCAAGACGGAAGACTAATGTTATTGTACATAGGCTGTTACTCTGCCAGCCCTTCCTCACAAATTTGCTTTCTCTCTCTTCCCCTCTCCTCAACTCCCCTCCCCCCCCCATTCCTCTTTCATCTATCCCTTCTCCTTCTCCCTCTCTTTCTGTGGGCTCCGCTGACTGTTTGCTCAGGTGGACAGTGACACCATTTGGAATGAGCTGCACTCGTCCGGGGCTGCACGCATGGCTGTTGGCTGTGTCATCGAGCTGGCTTCCAAAGTGGCCTCGGGAGAGCTGAAGGTGAGGTCTGGGTTGCATTAAGTGTGGGAAATCCAGAGAAGAAGCTGAAACAGACGTGTTGTTGTTTGGGAATTGTGGGGAGTGTGGTGTGGTAATAAAAAGAAAGGGGCAGAGGGAGGAGGGCAGGGAGATGGCCGCTGAGGTGTGATAATAACGAGTGTGCAGGTAGGGAGGAGCTGCTCCTGCTCCGAGGGTCTTCCTCCCCTTGGGGGGACTCTGCGGTCAGGGCACGCTGGTGTGTTTTTAAGAGCATAGCAATGGTGACTAAAGCTAGGGTCCAGGTTAAAAATACCCAGTATATACATATCTGTCATGCCCCCCTGGGGTTCTCTTTTGAAGTGATTTAAAAAATATGATTACTGAGTACTATGTATAAGCTCAGAATACCACCCAGAGTGAAGGAGGTGGGGGGCGGGGGGAGAAAGGTAAATACCAGACGGGAAGGATTGGGAGGAAGAAGGAAATTGTTGATTAGAAGGGTAATGATCCAAAGTATGTTTTTCCATGAAAGAACTTCAAAAATGAGCTACGCTTTATTGTTCTTTTCTTTTTATGGTCTCTTCTTTTCTACATCATATGAAAAGAACAATGTCCAAACCCAACGTTTCCCAGTCTAAACAATTTATAAAAGCCAGAGACCTGACAGACGCTGACATTTTATTTGGTATTTTAACAGTGCTATTTAAAGGTATGCTGTGCATCTTGCGTGCACTCACCCAGTAAACTTGGTTGGTGCTAACACGGCCTTTTAATGCACTACTTTACACACTTCATAATGAAATCTGGGCCATGATTGATTTGATATTTTTAGCAATTGTGAGACTTAAGGGAAATATATTGTGATCAACAACATAGGCACTGTGAATTTTGTTAATTTAAAATAAAGTCTAATTGGATTATTTTTCTTTTCTTTTTTGTTGAATTTAATGGGGTGACATTGGTCAATAAAATTATATAGGTTTCAGGTGTACAAGTCTATAATACATCATCTGTATATTGTATTGTGTGTTCACCATGGATTATTTTTCTTTATGTCTAACAAATTCTTATTCTGTGTCACCTGAGTGTTCCTCTTGTGATTAAAAATTCAGGTTAGGAATGTATACTTTATAATGAATTATATCTCCCAGAACTCTTTGCTCCAACTCTTTAAGAAGCCAGAATCTATAGAAATATAATTTTGACAAGGAAGATGTCTATATCTTTATATCTATATCTACCTATATATGTATCTATATCTACCTGTATAGATATATATCTATATATCTATGTAGTTATATATCTATATACATCTATATCTATATATATACATACAGATGTGTGTGTGTGTGTGTGTATATATATATATATATTTATATATATATATATATATATATATATATATATATATATATATATATAGTTATACTTCTGTACGGTTGCCATGATCAACATCAGGACATTAATTGCTCATCACAGGGTATTTCTGGGGCCGTTAGTAAGTTGCTTACTCCTGAGTCTTTATCTTTGGTAATGAGCTATCAAAAAGAGAAGGGGATTCAGCCTTATGGAGAGTTTTCAGCTATCGCCCAGGAGCACTTTAGCAATAATCCTTTTCATTGGAGTAGGTGACTGGTAGCACTGGAATAAATTGACTTTTTAAAAGAGCAATATGTGAGGGTCTTAGTTTCAAAAGAAGTCAAATGACAAGCAATAGCCAGGCCACAGTATGAGCTTTTAAATGATTCTCCTGACTCACTTCAAGTGATTATGACTCACTTCATAAGAAAGAAACAGGACTATGTTAGCATCCACAATTTCTCACTGATTTGATTTTCTAGGAGTTTAATCAGTGATTCAGAAACCCTCTCAAGTAGAATGCCCACATATTACACTGAAAATCATCATCACTGTTAGCCTCACAGAATGCAGAATTGCCAAATGTATGTCTGAAGACCATTGAACAAAAACCTGATTCTACTTTTGGAGGTAGCCATTTAAAATAGCCAATTACAAAGTGTCAGCAACATAGTATGGACATGCTGACCACCAGCTGTACTAACATTGACTATTTATGTTAAGAACAAAGATTCATACAAATGCTTCCCCCCTCCTTAGTTGAGAAATTAGTAGTAGGTATGGTTAAAAAAGAAAAGAGAAGAATAGAGAAAAGGAGCCAGCCTAAGAATCAAGAAATTTTAGTCCAGGCTTGGCCACTTAAATGCTGTGTCACTTGGGACAAATCACTTAACTTCTCTGGGCCCTCGGTTCTTGTGCAGGATCAGCAGGGCAGACTTGGTAATGTTGAAGGTAGTGCGGAGTGCTGACATTCTGAGCTATTTGCAAATGACAAGTGGATCTGATTCTCAATAATACTATGGCACACCAAAGAGTAGGTATTCCAGAGCTAAATTCAACTTAGTTTGGTGAGTATTCCAGGTTTTGCAGCTGTTTTTTCTTTAGTCTAAGACAGGCAGGATCATAACAAAGGCACCAGCGCTGACAGGCCGAGGGCCCTGTGGGAATGCCGTTTGGGAAAAGTAGCAGTTACAGATGATTTGCGGCCAGAGTGGAGAACTGAGGTGTAGAGCTAACCAACATGTTACTCGGCGTCTACCTGCCCCAAACCCTGGTGTGACCCGCTGGCAGGAGCAGTAACACTCAGCTGCCTAGTCACTTTATTCAGATGTAGGGAGAAGATAAGGGGGCTTATTTGAGGACATTGGTAAGTTATCTGCTGATCAGAGATGTAAAAAGAGAAAACTTTAGGTTTTATTTTTCATATCCTGCATCTGCATTCAGTTTTCATGTGCCTCATTCACATCCTCCCAGAAAAATCAGTAACTGAATGAAACAACGCTGGCATATTTTGACACCGCATTTTGTGAGACTGCACTAATTTTGCTTAGAAAATATAGAATTAAGAGCCTTAGTTCCAATAGGGTGGGCCTGGAGGGAAGGCTGAACTGAGGGGTAAGAGACAGCTGGAAGGAGGTCACCGAGCTCATAGAGGGTGGGGATCCAGGAGATGACAGATACGTACAGAAATGGAACATGTCAAATGCACATTTAATTACCTGCAATTTTTGCTTGTAGCTGAACTTATCATGACCACTAGCTTAATTTTGACCTTCTTCATCTGAGGGTACTGATAGGCTGAAAGAATTAGACTGTACCAGGCACAGGGAGAGGGTCTAATGCTGATGCTTCACCAGACTGGGTACAGCAAACTGTGGCTGTAAATTGGTGGACTTTGGTACACAATGGACACTCTCAGTAGACTTTAGTAAAATTTATGGAGGCTTTCATTTTCTAGGTTTTAACAACATATTTAAACACACACACACACATACACATATACACAGAAATTTCTCAAATCTATGGATGCCCAAATTGGCTATTTTTCAGACTCTTATACCAAAGAACACAACTACTCAGAAAATGCTGAAATGTTTGGTGTACTGGAAACTATAATTGGAAGAAGAGTTATATCAAAATGGTTTTATTGTTCTACAGGACATTTTTTAATCCTCACCTGAGGATATATATATATATATATATATATATATACATATTAAAATATTTTATTTATTTTTAGAGAGAGGGAAGGGAGGGAGAAAAGAGGGAGAGAAACATTCATGTGAGAAATATTAATCAGTTGCTTCTCCTACATGCCGCAACCAGGGACTGAACCTACAACCCAGGCATGTGCTCTGTCTGACTGGTAATCAAACAGGGGATCTTTCAGTTTGTGGGATGATGCCCCCAAAAGTGAGCCGTACCAGTCAGGACAGGATTTTTTTTAATGATTTGAGAGAGAGAAAGAGATTCAGAGAGCAAAAGAGACAAACATACATCAATTGGTTGCTTCTCATAGGTGCCCAAACCCAGGATCAAACCCGAAACCTAAGTATGTGCCCTGACCGGGAATCAAACTTATAACCTTTTGATGTACAGGACAGTGCTCCAACCACCTGAGCCATCTGGCCAGGGCTGTATACCCATTTTTTAATGGCCTATATGTCTAGAAATAGAAATATCTATTTCTGTCTAGAAATAGTATGTCTAGAAATAGAAATGTCTCTAAAATCTCAACATTTTTAAAGTTATGAATGACTCAATATTTGGTTCAAAAGATGTTACAAAATATCAAGTACACCTTAAACACATACAATTTTTGTTGATCATTCATACCTCAGTAAAGCTAGAAAAAATGGCTCAACACTTATCAGGATTTACTCTAAGGATTTATTTGTAAAACTTTTCAATTACAGTTTACTTTCAATATTATTTTGTCTTAGTTTCCATTGTAAAGCATAGTCCTTAGACAGCCACATACTTTACACAGTGCCCTCCCCGTATTTCTAGCACCTATCTGGCACTATACGTACTTACCGAAATATTATTGACTACACTCCCTGAGCTATGCTTTACATCTCCATGACTGTTTTGTAACTTCCAGTTTGTACTTCTAAATCTCTTTGCTTTTTTCACCCAGTGCCCCAATGCCCCTCTACTCTGGCAACCATCAGTTAGTTTCTTGTCCGTGTCTACAAGTCTGTTTCAATTTTTTTGTGTGTATTTTGTTCTTTAGATTCCACATAAGTGAAACCATGTGGTATTTGTCTTTCTCTGACTCATTTCACTGAGCATAATACCCTCTAGGTCCATCCATGCTGTCACAAATGGAAAGATTTCACTCTTTTTTTTGTGGCTGAGTAATAATAGTCCATTGTATATATGTACCGCAACTTTTTGTCTACTTGTCCATTGATACACACTTGGGCTGCTTCCATATCTTAGATATTGTAAATAACACTGCAGTGAACATAGAGGTGTATATGATTTTTGAATTAGTGTTTTGGGTTTCTTCAGATGGATACCCAGAAGTGGAACTGCTGGGTCATAAAGCAGTTCCATTTTTAATTTTTTGAGGAATTTTCATAGTGTTTTTTATAGTGTCTGCACCAATATGCAGTCCCACCAACAGTCCACTAGGGTCCCCCTTTACCCTCACCAGC